TCTGCTTTCTGACTTATGATATGATAATTTGTATTCTTTTTCGTGTCTTAAGTGGTAAGTGCAAAACAACAAAACTAATGGAAGTTGTCTACCATGACAGTTTTATAGATAGCTCTGGGGTTCGTGGCGAGATACCTAGAACATTTTCTAGTCTACAGAACTTGGTGACAGTGTAAAGAAATTTGATCATATCATCCAAATAATTGAATTTATTTTAAACCAAGAATTTATCAAAAGATCTATAGAAATTTTGAGAAAGTTTATTTATTCATGTCAGATGGGCATCGGACACTGAACTTACCGGCAGAATACCTGACTTCATAGGGAATTGGTCGAAGCTTGCTACACTGTGAGTGTATTATTTAATTTTCCTCTTTTATTTTTTGTGTATAGTTTATTTACTTTTCTTTGTAGTCTAAAGCTAATGTCTAATACTGCAGCATAAGTTTGTTATACTCGACTCATAAATGAAGTATATCAATTCGAATCCTGAATTTTGAATTTAGAATATTAAGGGAGACCAATAATTTCCACTATTTCTTTAATTCACGAACCAAATTCAATCTAATGGGATAGTTTATTTAAATTTTTTTTCCACCAAGAACATTTTGTAAAAAGATGTTTTTCATTTCTATTTTTTTTTTGGGGAACATTATTTAGTTATTTTTTCTGATTTCATAAAACGGAAAGAAGAAAATATGTCTAGTTTTAGGAGTTTGAAATTCAACTATCTTCTGAATCATCAATCTAATCCTTTTTTTTTTAACTTTAGAAAATTCTATTCTTCCAACTGCAAATTTAAGTGGAACATAAACTACCATCTTAATTGGCTGCTTTCTTTTTTCAAAATCTTGCAAGCTTTACAATCTTTCTTATTTCTGTATGTATTCTTTGTAGGAGATTTCAAGGTAACTCTTTTGAAGGTCCTATTCCGTCAGCATTCTCAAATCTAACTTCTTTGACAGAGTTGTGAGTACTTACCTTTACTGGTCATGTTTGTTTTATATCCTGTGTCTATGATCTTAACCTTTCTATTAAATAAAATTGTAGGAGAATAAGTGATTTGACGAATGGAAGTTCATCGCTGGAGTTTATGAAGGATTTGAAATCCCTAACTATCCTGTATGAAAACATAAATCGACTCCATTGGGTATCATACTATTATGCTTTTTTCTTCTTTTTGCTTCACTCTTACAACCTGATGATTACATGTCCTGCAGAGTACTAAGGAACAACAATATTTCTGATTCAATTCCACCCAGCATTGGCGAATTCCAGAATTTGACACAACTGTAAGTTGTTCCTCTCGATTGATAGCTATTTAGATATACTAAAGATGGAAAGTTAAATTTGTATTAGTCCTGCTAATTCAAAGAAATTTAAGAATGAGAGCATGGTATTGGCAAGTTAAATCTGTTTCTTTTAATCTATTGTTTACTAGTTAACAATGTAATCTATACATTCCTCAGAGATTTGAGTTTCAACAATTTGAATGGAGATATCCCCGCTGCGCTTTTCAATATGAGTGCACTTAGTCACTTGTAAGATGCTACTATCCTTAATTATGTCATGCATTTGCAGACAAGTACTTGCACGCTGAAGAAAGTATATTTGCTCTAATTGTCAGGTTTCTAGGAAATAATAGTTTGAGTGGTTCCTTGCCTGCCCAAAAGAGTTCTTCACTCCGCACCATGTGAGTACAGCTAACATAGGTATTGGCATCACAAAATGCTTTAAAATTGGAGTTATGATTTTTTTTTTAATATTTAAACAGATCTTTTGCTGTCTAAAAGAGCAGATTTCTGGTGAAATATGGAAACATGGAAGATGCTGAGCTTATATGAATCAATATCATTTCAATGAGTCTTAAATCAAATGCATTTAAAAATTCCTTCCTGGAATGTCTACTTAAAATTCGTCTCTTATTAAATTGGCAATTGCAGAGATGTATCATTCAACAATTTAGCTGGTACACTTCCTTCTTGGGTTCATGAGCAAAATTTGCAAGTGTAAGTCTTCAAATGATAATATTATTTCTGATTATGTTTCATGAATTGTTGCCAGCTGATTTCTAGTTAAGTATTCCTAA